GATTCTATTAAAAATGTGCTCAACTGCCTTAGAGCACTAACTGCAGCAGACTGTGGAGTAAATGAAACCCTGGAACTCATCACCAAATTTTAATCCCTCGAGGCCTCTTAGCAGAGGCTAAGATAAGTGTAAAAATGTGTAAAAAAAAAAAAAAAGTTACTAGAAGGAGAAAATATTATGATATATTGCTCCTTGATGCAGTAATCGTTATGAAGTTATTCTCAGAGCAGCTTTGCTATCAGGCTCACCCTTTTTTCAACTAGAGATTAGATGCTGCCTCAGACACCTACATTTAGTGAGTTTGGGGAAAAGGGAGAAAATAGAAAAATGAAGACTTGTAGAAAGTTCTACAAAACGATGTTGTAATGTATATATTGTATATCAGTCTAACATGGGCTCACTAGACAGAGTCAGCTTTGGGGAAAAGAGGCCAGATGGCCTTTCCTAAGTTTAATGGTTCCTGTAATTATTTATCTGCATTCAGAGAGGCAACAGCATCAGAGCTCATAACTAATACTCCTTCTTTTGCTTTCACACGCAGCATTCATGTGCACTTTTATTTATTTGAGGCATGTTCCTTTCCTGGTAGGATAAAGGTGGTATTTTGCTTTCAAAAATGACTCTGTAAAGAAGAAAACCTGCACTGGAGACTGCTAGTACCAATATTTTTTTCTGAACAAAAAAAAATAGATTGATAAATTAGAAACTGAGTATGAATGTGTTACCTTAATAGTGAAATTATAAGCAGCATGTATTTTTGTGAGAATGTGTTGCTGTTGCTGATGCTACAGAGCCAACATCTGTTCTCAAGCAATGTTTTACCCTGCTAAATGGAGGTAGAAAACAGTCTTTCTGATAGTGCTGTGAGAAGTTCATTTAGAAATGCTGGGCATTTTTAGTCACTGTAGATATTCTTCCTACTGAGAGAGAAGAAATTTATTACAAACTGTCTTGTATTTGAAGCCAAAAATAATTTGATGGCTAATGAGGACATTTTCAGTGTGCTCTTTATCTTTGTGAATTTGTGGAGACTATGTAAGAAATCAGGAGATCAGAACAGGGCCAGTGTCATCCGTGTCTTTAAAGAGAAGGGAAAAGAGAAGCCAACAAATTACAGGCCAGTCAGCTTAATGTCAACTGCTGTAACATTTCTGGAACAAATTATCAAAAAAGTATTTATAAGCACCTTATTGATAACAGTGAGATAAGTATGAGTCAACATGGATTTGTCAAGAACAAATTATGTCAGTCTGGTTTCCTTTTGTAATAGGGAACAGGCTTTGTGGGTGTGGGAGAAGCAGTTGATATCATAAATCTTGACTTTAATAAGGCTTTAAAGCTCTCTCATATGAGATCCTTATGAGCAGCTAGAGTAATATGGTCTTCATTAAATTTCTGTTGACTGACATTGTACTGGCTACATACTGTGTGGAGAGAGCAGACTTTGGAGCAAAAATATATGAAGTAGGGTTGTTCTGTAGTCTGTGTTTCCCCATATATTCATTAACGTTCTGGATCTTGAGACTGCGACTAAACTTACAAAAATTTCAAGCAATGTATAGCCAAGTAAGAACACAGGCAGACAGACAGACAGAGATAGAATTTAAAATCATCACAACAAATTTAAGAAATAATTTAGTAACTAGTTTTAAAAACTACTTAGAAATAAGTAAGGACAAGGGCACAATACTCCACTGAGGCTGGAATAATCAGCTATAGAGGACAGAGAGTAACTGTTCAGAGAGAAGTCTGCTGGAAAAAATTACTCTATCGAGGTTGCAGTAGGTCAGGGGCATCATGTTGCTGTATCCCTTGCAAGGTCTGTGAAGTAACTTTTCCTCTCTGCTTCACATTGGTGAAGCAGAAAGCATGAGATTGTTTTTAACTCAGGCATTTCTGCTATACTGGTAAGGCAAATACTGAGACTTGGAAAGAGCAGAAAAAGGTTATGTTTTATGAAAAATCAGTCAAGCATGGCCTAGATTTGAAAGAGCACAAATTAAAAAAGGAAGGAATGAATGCTTGTGATCCAAGGGGAAAAACAGTTAAGGGAGGTGTTGCAGATGACTCTGAGGTTTGCTGAAAGAATGGAGCTGTTAAAGATAAGGAGGAGGTAAAATCTAGAGGGGTGGGGGGCTGGTTTTGTTTGGTGTTTTGTTGCAGGAGCAGGGGTTGTGGGGGTGGGACTTGTCTGGTTGTTTTGCAAAAGTTAGTCATAGGTGCTTTGTTCCAAATCCGAATTCTACAGTTAGCTAAAAAAAGTTGTCCATACAGGGTGTGAAGAGTATTAACTGTTTGCAACCAACTTAATAAATGTTGAGTCAAGTGAACATTTAGAATTATTAAATAAAATGCAAAACCCAAATCCCATGTGGCTTCATTACATAAAATATTGGATAGAGTTTGTGTCCTTCTTTTGTTGGAACAGGCTTAAAGTATTTAAGAACATTCTCTTTTGTCTCTCTTTGCTTAATTGTTTGATGGAAAGTTTCTATTTAAAATATCTGTCACTGTCATGTTTTGGACTCTTGGGGGAGGTTCCCCTTATTCTTTGGTAGGGGGCTGTGATGGGTAATTTCATAGGCCCGTAACAGGGGATGGCCTTTTGTAAAATGTCCGGTTATCACACTTGTGTCTTAACCCTCAGTTGAGTGTCATCTGCAGAACTAACTGCTTACAGGTGGCTTTGGTGGAGACAACAAAAGAAGGGGGTTGCTTATAGGTATGACATGGTTGCTTGGAGAGATCCGCCTCCAGATTTGCATGGGGAATTTAGAGACAAAAAGGCTCTAGAGCACTGACACAAGAGGAACAGTGAGAATGTTCAAGGGGAAAGGTTGCTATGAATCAGTCATAAATGGCTGGTTTCAAAGAAGTATCATTAAACATGCTTTGTTTGGAGGAGTGTGTGAGATGGCTGTGGTGTTTGGCCACTGATGGAAGCATGGCTCCTTAAACACAAGTGTTGCTGGGAAGTATGGCGAGGCTGTGAGGTGTTCTAGCTTACAGCATGCATTAGTATTTCAATTCCTACATTCTGATATGTTGGCTTAGAACAGCAGCTTCAAAACCTGACCATGTAGCAACCATGCATATCTTCCTTTTACCGTTTTCTTTCTGGCTTTTGCCCTGTTGTATTATAACCTGACATAGCAGTGCTGGTCAGTAACTGGTGAATGTTGCCTGTAATGCAGGTTTTCATATACTGCGGCACTTCGGCTTTTCTTCCAATTGAATTTATTGAAAGAATTCTTATTTGAAAGAATTTCAAGACACTATGCAAGTTCTACAAATTACAGAATCCATATTGTCTCTGCTTTTTCTGTTTGTGAAGTTTGTCTGTCTCCCTGATTGTACCCAATAGAGTTTAATTGAATAATAGTGACTTGAGGAACTATTTCCTCCAACTTCTTTATAGGCAAACAACTTTTTCAGTTTAGTAGCCTGTTAAACACACTAAATGACTTGCTATTTAAGAATGTACAATTTATTGATTTAAGTAGAGGTATGATATATATTATACCTAGGCAGGTCTTGGTCTAGTATTGCTTCATCTCAGAAGATAGATTAATAACATGATAAGGAAGTAACACCAAATTTCTCCATGTTTGGGGTTTTGTGGTTTGTTTGTTTGTTTGTTTGCGGGGGTTTTGGTAACCTTAATTACATCTGAGTACTAATTCCCTATTTCTTTAATTGTTTATATCCTGACTAGCCATATAAAGGCCTCAAATCATTGAATCATGATGGAAAAGCTGAAATACTTTACTGATCAGGGGTAAAGTTAAACATATCCATACAGTTCAGCCTGTTGCTTTGCTGAATCTAATGAATTTACTGAACTTGCTGTAAACTTCTCCTCTACAAAAATCATCATGCTTAAATGTATGAGCTAAGCAATAGAAATGTTCTGAATGCTGATCAGGACACTATTACTTGTCTGTAGCCCAATGCTGAAGGTGTTGAAAGAGAAAGTGGAAAGTCAACTTGCTTGCAGGGAAGAGTAATTTGTTTTTGTTTGGCTTTTCCTGCTAACATAAAAGCCTGGCTCACTGAATAATCCATGAGAAGATAAATGTCTGCCAGCTGAGGTCACAAAGATACTGCCGTAAGCAGTCTGCTGTAAATGGTTGATAGGGCAAACCTAAACCAGGCAAAGAGCCCATAATGAGATTTCTGTACAGGTACTCACTTAGTCCCCTCTGCCACATAATTCAGGAGCCATCTGATGTAGGAGGTACAGAAGCATTAACTTTTATGTTGCAGATGAGAAACTGAGGCCCACCAAGACTGACCAGATGGACAACTATTGTTAACACCGTAACTCTTATTTACATGTTCAAACCCAATAGATTTCAGCAACATTTTAATGCATTCATGAGTCTGAGCTTAACAGGCTTAGTCAGCCAAGAGGACTTTGGAAAAGACACATGACCCCTGAATCTCAGCCCACATCTCCTTTTTAATCTAGTGTTCAAAGACTATATAGTGTTAGATGCAGAACAGACCTGAGGTAAAGCCCCAAACATTTTCCACATTTGGTTTTGGGTTGTATTTTTTTTTAAGGAAAAAAGTGAGGTAACAGCAGTACGTCATGCAGATGATCAAGGCTGAGGCAATAAAAAGAGGGGGTTTTGTTCCCTGAGGCCATGGAGTAAGAGATGAAGAGAGGATTTTTCTGTGCATTGTCATTCTTGTATTAAAAAATAGCGTTCAAGGAAAATGTCCTTCATCATCAGTTACTAAGAACATTAAATGCTGTCAATAGAAAGATGGTGGAGCTTGTGAAAATCTGATAGAAAAGGGGGATCAACTGCACAACGAGAGATGGGATAGTTTGCACTGCTGATCAAGTTAAATACGTGAAAAAACAAGCTTGCATCAGGCAGATTGGCTGAATGGCTTACAAATATATTTTAAATATGAGTTGTAGTTAATATCACTAGTACGAAAGTAATGCAATTTAGCAGTGTTCTCTGAACTTGCATCTTTACTTGCAGAAGCATGATGGCCACTTCACAGTCATCCAGCTGGTTGGCATGCTGCGGGGGATTGCATCTGGCATGAAGTACCTCTCAGACATGGGTTATGTACACCGTGACCTGGCAGCCCGTAATATCTTGGTCAACAGTAACCTCATGTGTAAAGTCTCTGACTTTGGGTTGTCACGAGTGTTGGAGGACGATCCTGAAGCTGCTTACACAACAAGCGTAAGTTTTTCTTATCTAATTTGAACAGCTGATTGCCACGTGCCTCTTTTATTCCAGTTTCAGATTTGTCTGTGCCATAGGAATAGTAGTTTCAATTGGCTTTGTTCCATTCTCAGTCCATGTGGTTTAATAGCACTGCCAATGTGTTTTAGGAAAGTCGTTTTGATTTTTGGCTGTGTAAGGGTTGTGTAATAAACTTTGGCAAAAGTATTTTTTTTTTTAAGCAAATGTACGAGTATAAGTGGGAGAACTTTTCCATTCTTGTTTGAGGTTTTGTGTTTGGTTTTGGTGTTTTGGGGTTTTTTTCCACATCATTTCCCCTACTGCTAACTTGTGTTCATCTACAAAGCTATGTTTTTAAAATAGGGGAATGGGGGAGGAGACAATCTCACCAATTCCACTGTTGGAAGCATGGTGTCAAGCCTTGTATTCATAAATTAAAATTTTATTTTTATTTCACTCAAGCTCACCTTCTAACAGGATATGTAGGACCTCAATGATCTTTGAGGTCCTTTCCAGCCCTAACCATTCTATGATTCTATTTCTCTCAAGGTTTAAGTCTCATTTCATTAATACTTGAATTCCTTATGTGATGCAAGTAAATTGTTAGAGTGGAAAATGGAGTTGGGTTTGGTTTTGGTTTTGTTTTTTTTTTTTTTTGGGGGGGGGGGTGGTGGTGTTGGGAGGTCCACTAAAGTGAAAATTTCTTGAACATGAAGAAGCTTGTTCAAATTTGACTTAGAAGAAAAAAGTAA